GTCCTTCTTTGTGGAGGTTATGATCCCAAAGAAAACCCCTGAAAGTACCACCAGTAAGCACTGGGAAAGCTGTTGATTTTTGAAGCCTCTGATACATGAGTAATTTCTTGCTTATTGAGGGGAAAAAAACCCTAAACCCAACCTACCTTCATTCAAAGTTATAAAGGCAAGAAGTGGATTTTAATTTTTTTTTTAAACAAATGTTTCAAAATAAGTACTTTGAAAGCTTGGTCCACACTGCACAATCCAGCATAAGAGAGCATGCACCTACCCTTCAGAGACCCTCCACAGCTCAGCCATGATGGCACAAAGCCACCACACTCAAAGCCCAAGGATGCATATCCACACTCACCTAGAATCACCTGTATTTGTGTACACGGGGGTAAGAGTGAGGTTAGAAAACAGAATATTTAAGTGCTTGCTGTCTGCTTTTTGCCACAGTATTCTGTGCAACAACAAAGATCTAAGAAAGCACAAATATTCTCTATGGGTAGAACTTTGGCTAGATATTCTGAACAACTGGACTTTAAAGCCAGACCTCTGGTCTGGTAGAACATAGGACCTGGCCAACATTGCTTGGTTACTGTAATGTGCACCTGAACATTTGCTTCTCAATGCCAACGAGGTCTTCCAATGAAGGACTTGAGTAAGAGGGTTGTTCCAGCTTACTTGCAATGAAGAGCACTTTAGGTGGGGAATTAACTCATATGCTAGAGTTAAAATGGGTATTGAGACTCCCATGATAGAAACTGGCTAATAAAACCAGTAGAGTCAAGAAGGCTCTGTAAAGCAGATGGTGGTATCTGGTCAGACCACTCATACCCTCAACTCCCATGGACTAAATTGAGAAATAATCTAGATGACTATGACATCAATAAATGAAGTTACATCAAGTCAAACCCAAGCCTGTATTCCCAGGTGTTGGCTGCTCAACTGGTCTGGCTTTAAAAAATATCATACCAAGCGTGAGTTGTTAACAGCAGCTAAGAAACAATTTAAGGACAGAGTGCATGTCCCAAAAAGTGGGTTGGGAATTACAAGGATTCATCCCTTGTTTCAGATAAAATCATGTCAAGATAAAAGATTTCACATCCCTGAGAGGGTTCAAAATGTTTTTCCTAACTTCCCCCTTAAAAATCCCAGCTTAACATAAACAGTCAAAGACACAGGTAATCTGTGAATCTGAAAGTTTATCTTGATATATCCACCTGGTTTTCTCCTTCCTGATTTTCCATGACTTCATCCTTCATGTGTTTTCCTTCTCATGTTTATTGCAAGCAAACCCTATCACTCATCCCAGTCTTGCATTTCTGTTTTCTTTCAAAACATTTAAATTTTCCCCAACCTGTTCATTTCCTGTAGTCAAACACCACCCAGGCAATTACAATTAATATATTACAGTGAATGCAAAGATGTATGAAAGTAATATGCTCCCTTTTGCTGAGCTGGCCTCCTCAAAACAAACATACAGCTGATAGCAGTCAGGTAAAAAAAACAAGACAAACAAAAAAACCGTGCCAAAACCAAAAAAAACCCCAACCCAAACTAAAACCAACCAACCAACAAAACCTGCCCCCTGTCCCATTACCCATTGAACCTAATAAGCAATGATGTTCCAATATAATAAAATCACCTATCTACTACCTCACTCCTAAAGTACAAGCATAAACCAAGGGTAGACTAAAACGGAGTATTTATTTATTAATTTCTCCCTCCCTGTTATTTTGCTCATGTAAGCACAGGCACTTAAAAAGAAAAGCTCATTTTTAGCAAAGTAGATCACACCTGGAGAAACACTGTGCAGGTGAGAGGCATCTGTTCACAACAGAGTACCATGCACACGCCCAGGGCAAGGGCTGAAATCAGTAGCAATAGCTGGTACATCAGAGATAAAACAAGCAAAAGCTGCAGTCCTTCCCTTATTTTTCATAACATGCAGGAATAAGAAGCACATGGGAAGATCCTTCCTTCAAAAGGCTCTTCAATAAGAGGAAACCTGTTCTGCAGCTAGTTTGGAGAGATGGAAGTTGAGGAAGAGTTCAAACCTGTTTGAAAACCTCACTCTTAGAAATCCAGACAGCGTTAGCTCAATTGCTTGGGGTAACAGAGTGCCTACATAACTACTGAAAAAACTAAATATGAAAAAGGGAAAAATTTAGTAAAATCATGACCTCTTGCCTTTGAACACCAGACTTTCTAAGGTCTACCACCATTCATTAAATTTTTTTCCCACTGCCTTGCCAATTGCCTCAGCATCTGCCTGGAAGGGTAGATGAGTCTCTGTCTTTCCAGTTCTGGACCTCAGAGCTGGGACAGCCAACGCAGGGTAATGGCAATTGTCATGGTGGTTTTGTGGCATATTCATTTTCTTCCAGCTGTCACAACTAGAAAGGAACCATTGGCAGAGAGGGTTTCTGCCAGCTTCAAGCTGTACATCTGTTCACGCTTGTCTGTTCAGACAACACGGGATGCAATCTCCCCTTCCCCTTGTGCTGGCATCTGTTTTCTTGTGCTGTTTGTCCTGAAAGGCCTTTGATTTTGGATGCTGAAAAGTGAATCTCTATGGATGAAAATTCCTTCATGTATTTTAAAAAGAAAAGAAGTAGAGGTGTGCAGCCTTTGCTATCAGTGCTAAACAGTTCCCCTGCAGATAATGAAGGCTGAAATAAAACTAGCAGTGGTCCATAAAGCTATGAAGAGAAGCAGCTTGTGCAGGACTCCTCAGCATGTCAGCAGGACTGGGAGATTCTAGAGCTGATGGAAGCTAATTCTGATTCAAATGGGACAAATTACAGCTAATCAAAATTATCTGCTAGGACAGGGATGGATGATTATGTAAGCAAGGAACTTAAAAGCCTGCTGGATCACTGTAATGGCATGTTTTAAGTACGCATAGGACTCCCGTCATCTACCACAGCCACAGTAATGAGGATTTATTTGGAACAAACCATCAGAGAACAAAGTAGCAAAATACTTCACAATTAAATTATCCTATCTCTGCAGTTTCTACACCAAAAAAACAACAAAAAAAGATATATAAAATGTTATATATAGATACAGTTGCAGACCCACAACACAGTGAGTTTACAACAGACTGTTCAGATTTTAACACGTCTCAAAATGGCTCTGCATGACCTTTGAAACAACAGGAACACTGACAGTTTAGGAACACAATCCCAGGATTATGGGCTAGTCAGTCAGCTTTACAGAGTGAAAGATTATAATCAAGGCTTGAAAAAAAGCAGCAATCATTTCACCACTAAAATGGACATGAAATCAGCTTCTGCCTCCCTGCATCACTCTTAGGCACTTCCAAATGAGCATTTTTTACTCACTCTCATGGTTTTACATGCAATAAAGACAGAGAGGAGGAATATACGACCTTTGAAATTGATCTCAAGGAGGTCTGTCTTTTTTCTTTTTTCCTCTTCAAGCCAAGAGAGAGTAACTCTACACAGCCTCAACTTGGCAGAAAGAGCGACAAAAAGATGCAGATGCTCATTACTTAGAAGAGGTTCACACCTCTTCATTCATTTTACTCTATTATGTAACTAGCTGGCCAATCAATGAAAAAATACTGCTACCATCCCCTTTTAAAGTGTGTTTCTCTCCATGACCTTGCATTAAAATAGACAACATTCTATAGCTGACAAAAGAAGACTGGGGAAAACTTGGGCCTGCTGCTGAATGAGATGGGGGACCTCATTACATAGAACATGGAAAAGGCTGAAGTACTAAATACCAGCTTTGCCTCAGTGTACCCATATTTCAATTCAAGGAAAGACAAGCACAAAGAAACTTTTATCTGATCAGGTTAAAAGTTCAAAATTTTAGTCATCCACACCCAGGGCTTCATTTTTCCCCTACACAAATACCTGAGATACTCAAATTTAGAATTTTTGTATCATGTTCAGGGCTTACATAATCATATCCACAGACTCACGCAAAACTGTCAAGAGCTACAGAGAAGGTTAACATCACTTTTTGCAAATTATATCCCTGATTGCAGAGGGAGAAGAGTTTCTACAAATATAATGAGTAATCAGATGAACATCTTTGCCTGTGTTTACCCCCTGAAATAAAAAAAGGTGTATCTTTATCTAAAGCAACAAAAAAGGAGAAGATGCTCCATCCTTCAAGGCAACATTTGTAATGTGATATTGCTGTCTTTCACTGTCATTCCTACATATGTGTGAAAAGGTCCTACAATAGGTCTACTGCCACAGTCTACCCTCCAGCCTTCTTCAATTCCACTATTGCATAGGTGTTCTGCAAAAATAATTTTTAGAGCTGCTAGTCTTCCCAGGCAGCAGTATTTTAATTTCCAATAGTCCCATGATGCACTGAGGAGTTATGGACTGTCTTCCAAGATGACCAGAAGTTACAGAACCAGATAAAGAGATGAATCAATGTTGATAGAAAAGCAACTTTTAGAAACAAAGAGACTAAATCATATTTTCTTGTAAATAAAAAAAACACCAGAAAGATACTAAGTATGTTCTGAGGGAGATCAGATGCAAAATGGCTCTGGGCTACTGGAACTGACAACTTCCAATTTTCATCATCTGCCAGTGACAGTTGTGAGGTTACCAATCCAAGTTCCTTCTCATGCACTGGCTGATTGCTGACGACAGTCACTGGAACAAGAAACTTCTGTGTCACAGAAATAAGAAAGCTTGAAGTGCATGAAGTTCAAACTTACTGCCATTAACTGCTTTGATTTAAAACACTTTGTGTCTTTACCTGAACACAGCACAAACAGTTTTTATCAGTCTCTTCCCCTAAGCGGTTATATGAGAATTCTGTAAGCTGTAAGTTGCAAAGTGAGATATTCAAAACTAAATAATTGAATAACTAGATAAGTTCTTATTTTGAAAACAAAGAACAACCTAAGTTCAAATATTAATTGCCTCAAATGAACAAGGTTGGAATGATCTTACCCTTTTCATTAAACCCTCCTTATATCAGATGTTTCCATGAACTGTAAAGAACTGCCAAATGTCAGATCAGCCAGCCACCCTTGCCTACACAGAGAGCGCTCACACATCCAGAGGGCATCGAACAGAATGGACAGTTACAACAATGAACAAACTCTTTTATTTTTCTTGCTAGATAAGAACATCCCACCGAAAATAAAGAATAAAAAATGCATTCTGCTGTAAGACTCAGAATGCTTGAATCTCATACTACAGCACATGGAGAAATTCTGGTACAGCATCACAGTTATCTTTGTGCACATGGGTGCACAGAAAGCCTTGAACAAATATTTATACCCATAATAGTGCCATGTACAAAAATGTCATTCCATAAAGACCAAACAGAAAATTTAAACATCTTTGTTTTTCTTATGCCAAGGGCAATGTAAAAAATGCAAACTATTTTCAGTCAATTACTTCCACTTAAATTGCATGAGATCTTTTTAGGCTGAGGAACCCAAATTCAGCATAATAAAGCATAGAAGAAGTAATACACAATTATATATATGTATAAACAATATTCTGAACACATGGGGCATGATGTTTTCTTTAATATATAATTTTTGGTATAACCATATGAAAGTTAAATCAACACTTTTCTAACACCATGAGAAAATATTCTGTTTCTTCATCAATGCTCTGACCTTTTGTTACTATAAAGAGCATGCCTGTATTATTCATCTAAGCATACATGCACCACAAAAGATATGCAAAACAAATCAATACAGATAAACTTTAGTGTCAAATGTCTAATGATGTAATAACAAAAACAATTCTCAGGGTCCAAATGACTTTCTGAATTGAAATTGCATTGCAGTCACTTAAAATAACAAAATACTTGGACTTGAGAGTCACAAAGTTCACTGTTTTCTAGCAGTACCTCTGCGGAAATCTAATGAGTATCAGTCTATGGGTAAAGAAGGTCATTTTCAAAAAAGGAATTTGTAAAAAATACATTTATACTATACGCTTTCATATAAAAAGGCATTAAGAGATACAATAAATCCTACCGTTTTAGGACTACAGCTTCCCTAACGGTTTTTATCACTTGACTATTACATACAGTACATTCAGTTTCCTAAACAGAAAGTATATTTTCTTGTCCCTGATGTATTTTACAACTGGCAGTGACAACAAACTGTTTTATTATCACCACTCATTCTTGCAGCTTATACAAACAGCACCAATTTTACCCAAAAAAAGGTTTATCAGTTACAAAGTAGCACTTCCTCACAGGAAATATAAACCCAAAACATTGGAACCAAATGTGTCTTTCCAAATATCTATCAGAATATATGGCTCAGAGTTAAGCAATGAACAACCAGGAGTATTGCATAGTACAGGGATCTTGCCTGTGTGAATGAAGATACCTTTTGATTGTTTGTCACCTTCTGACTCCAAGAACAAATTAAACAGGTGCTAATGAAAGTAATACACAACTAAATTTACTGGTAAAAAACCCAAGAAATTGTACAGTTCTCTCTGGCACAGTGCAAAGTACACATTGAAAAACTGAAAATATATGTACAGAGTGTATGTATATTTTTATGTAGTATTTCCCTGACACATACACACGTACATATAAAAAACATGAACACACATCCATGCCAAACTTAGCAAAAAGATGGAATGTTTAATATGGGGATGCATTGTTCCAGTGAAATCAGTCTGTCCCAGAAATGGCTGTTTATACAGCCAATATGACCTTCCATGAAACAGAAATATTTACTGCCTGCCTAAACTGACAATATACGATACATTTGTCCTCATAACTTCCCAAAGGACTGATAATCACACTTTATAAAAGCTTATATTTGTATTAAGCCCTCTCTTCCATAAACCCTCCTCTCTTCTGAAAGACCAGAATATTCACTACAGAGATAAGATCTTCCATTTTAAGATTTTCTTGCAATATAAAAGTTTACAGACACCCCTGTAAAAATTATTAACGCCTGATGCTGGTTTAATTTCTTATTTCCCTTTGGGATTCAGCTGTTTTGTTTCTGGATATGAATACGTTGGCTGAAGCCTGTAACACAGAACACGCTTTTCAGGATTCGGAGAGCGCTGCTACCAGACCTGCCCATACCTGGTATGATCAATTGTCCTTCCCTGCCAAGTTTCTGTGAAACAGTTAGCAAAAACACTAGAATGTAATACAAGTCACTCCTCCCCTTTATCCTGAATGTCTCTTCTAAATTTCAAGCGCACTTTAAAAAAATAAAGGTTTATATCAGCAAAAGAGTTTCAAATCAAGGCGATGGCTGTGAACCTGAGAGCTTGGTGTGATCCAAACACACGTGTTTGTGGTACCCCCACTGGCTAGAACTTTCCTTGTTTAAGTCGTTCAATGTGGTAGCACAACTTAAGGGCAGGCCCCAGCTTCAGTCCCATATATTTCATTATCATATCACTCCTCAGTAAGAGTAGTGCCTTCCCATCAATTTCCTGCAGAAGGAAGAGAATAAACACAACAGACAACTATTTTAACAAGCTGCATGGTAAAACCGGAAAGTACATTATAGTTGTTTATACTGTAGTAAAAATATATCTACTATATATAAAACAGTAACTGTAATTTTGAATTTACAGATGACTACTGAAATTTAATTTGTTTTAGTATTTTTTAATGTGTGATTGAGTATTTGAGATGTTAAAGAATGAAAATGATAGTAAATAAAATAAACTGACCAAACAGCCCTCAAGAATTAGGGTTTCCAACCAGGAAAAAAAGTGAATGGGTCAAGGGAAAAAAAGAAAAAGAAGCTGCAAAGGAAGATCTGTGCAGTTAGAGATTAAATGATCCAAGCACTGAGGCCTTGCACTGAACCTTGAAAACAGCTGTGGAGAGGATTTTGGCAAGCATGTGTGAACGGTCACACAGAGGAAGTGGCTAGAGACCATCTAAATATGGGAAATTAGACAGATGTATTTCCATGTTGAACCAAAAAGATTGTCAGGATCAAGACCAATGACAACTTAGTCAAATTTCAACTGTCTGACTGAGAAGCTGCTGAAATACGACAATCCTAAACTCTCAGTATCATTACATGCCATAGGCAGGCAATTAGTTCCACAAAACACCAAAAAGAGAAACACTGTCTTCTATTTTTAAACACAAACCTGAAAATACAAGTGACATTTACTGTTATTATACAGCTAAGAATAAAATATAAGACCGGAATCTGCATTGAAAGTTATTTTGATTTTTCCTTCCAATCCAGTTTGCTCAGAGCTTAAACTGTTAGAAGGAGCTAGAGCAGAACATGGGTGAAATACTACTGAAGAGAAAGCCAATCTCTTTTTGGAGGGCCATACATGCAACAAAATCAAAAAACAGGTCTTTACTGAGCAACCTACCATAAAAAGGCACAGCAAGAAGTAGGTGAGATCAAACCCACCACAAACTGATACAGTTTCTGTCTCTAAAGACAACTAGTCAGACCTATGAAACCCTTCACCCCTAATTTGTTTTCCCAAAGAGATTAATTTAATATTTCAGCTGATGCTCTGAATTTTACTATCAATGACCAAGTGTCTAGCTAATGATAGATGACATCAATCTCTGATCTAGGAGATTAAGTCTCCAAAACAGGGGGACCGAATGCCCTGCACTGTACATGAGAATGCCATCGTCTCTAGAGGCACCAGGAATGATGGCCATTAGAACCTGGGCGCTTTCAGATTGGCATTATTCCATATACACTGGAAAGAGGTGGCTATTTATATTAGTCTAGCAAGACTGAAAGAAAGAAAAAATATATTGCAGGAGGGATTTCAGGTGGAAAAGCAATTTCCAGCCTCTAATATATGAGGAGAGTCTATTCCACCTCCAGTTGCAAACAGACTGATAGACATGGAAGTTGTATTTTAAGAGATTAACATGACACAATCTACTAGAACAGAATGTATATACATCATACATGTCTCCTGAAGAGTTCTGCATGTGGAGCCAGTGCCCGTGGATCAGCTTCTTTCACAAAATGCACTACTTCCTCTATTGACCAAGTGGAAGGATCTTTATTCAATATTCTTGAAGGTTCCCTTTTTAGTGAATTCAAATCTGGTCCAGTTGTGGAACTTGCAGCTTTTAATACAAAAGTATGGTAAAAAGAAGTATCACTAGTTTGTACAGGGTAACACATTTCATTTCACATAGGACACTTTAATATTAAACTTCTGGCATTTCTTATGCATTGTTTGCAATATATTAAAATGAAAAGATGCTTTATTTTCCTTCTAATAATACTGTACTGCTCCTTTTGTCTTTAAATGCCTTCTATAACTGCAAATACTTACAGCAGCACAAATATTAGCACTGACATACTTAGAGGGATTAGTTTTACTTGTACTTGGCTCCTGGGTCCCAAGATGCTATTAACTGGGAATGAGGCAAAGGCATGTGAAGCTGTGCAGACAGACAGTAGGAAACCCTATCCCTGTATTTCAGCAACATGGCAGTATTTGATAAGATGCTCAGGAAGTGAGCTGCATATAGCTATCCCTGCTATCCCTGATCTGGCTTGCTGCAGGGTCCATCACAGCAGCAAGAAGCAGCTGCAGCAGGAATGACCCTCCCTGGCTTGCACTACACTATTAGGACTAATAGGCTTAAGTTCTGTATTTGCAGTTACATTAGCAAGCCTGACATACTTGGCAACAGAACATTTCACTCCATATTGCAAGCTTTCCAAAGGCAAAGAACATCTTTATTCGTAACTTCGCTTGTTAATAGAAGCAGTTACATATTCTGGAAGGTTCTGTGTAACAGCCTACCTTCAATCCGCCTCTGCATCCGATTCCTACTGACTTCATGGTAACCACTGCTCCCAGCAGAGCTCAGGGACAGCCTGCGCAGGACTGGGGCTGAATTTGAGGTAGCAGTTGCTGGCTGATGGGAAGTTCTGTAATATGCAGCATTTCCCGAAGCGCGGTACTCTGTGGAATTTCGACAGCTTGGGTTTGACGAATTTACAGAATTAAGTGCAGAATCCATAGAATCCTCGGAAAATCGGTGTTCTTTGGAAGTGCTGTTTTCTTCTATAGGCAATGTTTCTGCTACACAAAAAGCAAGCATCAATATGTTTAAAGTGATGGACATCACACCTTTTTTACTTGAGGCCTTGCTACATTCTCTTGAAAGTACTGACAGACTAATGCTGTTAACAAATCTCCTGCGAGACAATCACTGAGATTGAATGTTTGTCACTTTTCCTCAACTAATCATTGGGCTCTTCATGTATTTGAAAACATTATTTTTGTAGCAAAAGATTTGATATGCCAAGTTTGAGACATTCCTCCATTAATCATTTTAGTTGTACTTATTGAATGCTATGAGCAGGGAAATGAGAGGAAATTTTTTTTCTATAAAATTGTCTGCTGTAAATATCAATACATTAAATAATTTTGGTCCATAATTTTAATTGTTTCTTAAACATATTATTAAAAAGCTAACCATTAATATTATGTAGCACTTATTTTGCAAGACATTTTTGATACAAATAAAAAACCTCATGTTAACTAACAATTGTTTAGTAAGTTCTTAACAGCAGAGGGAGTTACTAACTTCATAAAGAAAAAAAGTGGACAATTATTATCTATGGACCCCAACAGGTTCAGAGAGAGATGCCATTATTAAAAAGGGAAGCAGTTACAGGCAAAGCCACAGAAGTGAGTGCCTGGTATGGCACACTAATGTAACATGTTTTGACCACCCTGCTTTATCTACACACAGTTCTTTGCGTAGGGCAGGGTTTCAGGGTCTCTAACTGCAGACTCTGGAAAGCTACAGATACAAGTAAATTACTGAACCCATGGAGCAAGTAGAAAAAAAAATCTCAGGAAGGGAGCACAACAATATTCTAGTTCTTAGGCCTTTTCAGCGAATTTATACTCTGCAAAAGACAAACAGCATCCACTCAGAAGACTTGTGAACTTTTAAAGTCTGTCAATATTGATTCTAAGCCACGTGAGTGGAGTTCAGCATGTCCCTTTCCCTGGGCCATGAGACAGGAGCCAGATTTTCTTGATTACTGAAAATTCTACTCCTGTTTTCTACTCAGTTTTGTTTGAGAGAAGCATGCTATGTGAGGAAAAAAAACCCAAATGAACAGAAACACCACTCCATTCACTAGCAATCACAGATATTCCCCTACGTTTGCATCAGGCCAATATCTAGCATGAGAAAGAAGTTGGAAGCATGATGTACAAATCTGTATGAAACAAATGCTGCTTTGGCAGGAGAGTTATGAGCTGGAAAAATACAGCTAACAGGTTCACAGAAGTGTAAGCCCCACACTATCATCTTGAAAATAACTCTACTGAAGTTATAAAACATATGCTAGTGAGGCAGCATATTTTTTGGAATAAGAACTGGTACATTCTGCAAAACAAGTTCCTGAAATAAGCTTTATACTACCCTTCTTATATGAAAACTTTCAAGAATTTCTTGGGCAAATGCCCAATTAAAACCAAAGGAAGAATATTTTCCTAAAAAACCCAGTGAGCTTCTCAAGCATATTTTCAACTTGCTTCACGAGGTCTTGGGTTCTCTTTTTGAATGCTGTTTAAAGTGTAGTACAGTGAAGAATTGTTATGTGTATTGTGACCTTCAAAGAGCATAACCATGAAAGGGAATTAAAGGCTCTCAGAGAGCCAGCTCCCTACTTAGTGAATTTGGTAAGGCAAGACCATAGAATCACAGAATGGAACCACAGAATCATTTCGGCTGGAAAAAGCTAGGACGACCATTGTTAACCAAGTACCACTGTGTTCACCACTGAGCCACGTCTACATGTCTTTTAAATACCCCTAGGGATGGTGACTCAGCCCTGGGCAGCCTGTTCCAATGCTGACAAGCCTTTAATGAAGAAATTTCTCCTAATACCCAACTTGAACTTCTCCATGTGCAACTTGAGGCCATTTCCTCTTGTCCTATTGCTTGGGAGAAGCGTTAGTTAGGAGAAATTATGAATTCCCACCTTCCAATAACCTCCTTTCATGTAACTGTAGAGCACAATAACGTGAAAGGAGGTAAGCACTTCCACCAGCTCCCTCAGTACTCCTGGGTAGATTCTATATGGTCCCAGAGACTTGTGCATGTCTTAAGTGATGACCATTTTCCTGTGGATTGTGGGGGCTTCAATCTGCTTCCCATCCCCACCTTCCAGTTCAGGATGCTGGGTACATGGAGAACAACTGATCTTAGTACTAAAGACAGAGGTTAAAGGAGGCATGAAGTACTTCAGACAGTCATCCTCAAACTTTGTCACTTTGTTTCCCCCCACATCCAATAAAGGCTTGAGATTCTCCTTAGCCATCCCCTGACTGCTGAGAAAAATGAAACAAAAAATTTTCTTGTCTTTTATGGCAGTAACCAGATTAAGTTCTATTTGGGCTTTAACCTTTCTAATTTTTGCCTTGAATAACCTAATGGTATCCTTGTAGTCCTGATTTTCCTGCCCCTTCTTCCAAAGGTCCTTTTTTTCTCCTGAGTTCCAGCCAGACCTTTCTGTTCAGCCAGGACAGTCTTCTTCCATTCAAGCTTGTCTTTCAGCATGTGGGGACAGCCTGCTCCTGTATCTTTATGTCCAGCCTTCCTGGACTTCTTATCTGCAAGGTGATGTAACATCTTTTACTAAATGCGATAGTCATGAAATAAAGCAGCTTTTATGGATACAAGTCCTTCTCTTTCATATAAATAACTTTCAAAATAACCAATGCAAAACTTTCTGGTTTGTCAGACCTGAATTAAAAAAGCAAAAAGGAAGCTACTGAGGTTTTCAAAGAAAACAAACAAGAAAATAAAAGCCTTTTTATTTCTCAGAAGTACTTACAGCAACTTACCAAGATTAAAAACAAAAGATATCATTCCATAGAATTTCAGAGAGACTTTAAGAGATGAAGTCAATGATGCACAATATAAAATTAAAAAGTAGCCAACCAAGGGAAAATTAGAGCTGTAGAGAATGAAACCACATCTCAGTCCAAGGCCAAAAGGCAGAGGTGATAACTTAAATTGTTACAACAAAGCTGTAAGAAGGAGCATAAGGTTTGACTGACTGAACCTGTAGATTCAGATTTCAGACGTCTTGAAAGGTAGGATGAAACAATGGAGATAACATTCCCCAGCAGAGAATTTTAACTGGAGTATTCAAGCATATATCAGCCAACTCCATGTAATGTATTAAGAAAAAACATCTTTTAAGTTTTTATAGTAAACTAGTAGGAATCCGAATATAAGTTGCTTTTTTGGTTTTTTTAAATAATTGTTTTACATTATCTTTGTCAAGATTTCTGTAAAAAAAGATGTTAAAAATTTACTGCATTTTAAAAGAACTTAATTGTATTCATTCCAATTATATCACAGATTTCTTTCTGATGTTACATATCCTGAAGCAAGTAGAAGTAGGTTTGGGAAATATCAACTCTGCTTTTTTCCTCCAAGATATCAGCATTTGAATTTATCTTACTGTAAATTCTAAACTCATATACACAAGGTGGAAAAGCTGGCATATTTCCCATCATTTTTTTTAGGGAAAGCTTTCTGTTCAGTAGCTATGGTATCCAATCCACTTTCCAATCCATCCATCCAGCTTCTCTACAAACAAAATGCAGCAAAATTGGCATCTAGCAAATGGAGCACTGCAATCCATGGAGTGAGACAGTTTGCCTACCTCGGCATTTTGAGCAGCTGTGAATAACAGAGGTATGGAAAGAGATGGGAGGTTACACTGCAGAATGCCTGACCTCTGGGTGGATTAATGAAAGGCCAGTAAGAGGCCTTACATTTCAAATGTAGGGATGACAGCAGACTGTTTAGGCACTGAAGCCTTAGCAAGAACTGGATGTTTTGTTTTCTTGAGGCTCTTCTGGGAATTAGAAGCCAGTTGTTCTGTCTCATACATAACAAAATGATGTAATTGGACACAGTAGTAGGAACACACTGTTTTCAGGGGAAGGGAGTCTGAGTTATTCCCCACTCCCTCCTCCTTTATCTTTCATAACTTTAAGAAGAAACTGTTAGTGAGCAAGAAAGGCAGCAAAATCTGCAAAGCATATCCCTGAGCAGATCAGAAGGAAAACGAGCTGTTTGAAAGACCGTTTCCCACAATTACTCCATTTTGCCTTCAAATGATATTTCAAAACAACTATTTTAAGGCAACTGTGTCTCAATGGAACCAGAAGTTTTGGGGGCAGATCTTTCTTGTTAACCAACCCATGACTGACCGCTACAAAATTGCCTCCAGATTTTCAGCAGAGGACATTGCCCTAATGGGAAACACACAATGCTAGAGAACACTTTGCCTGTTAAAATGCACAGAGTACAAATTCAAACCTCTGAAACCATGGAAAAACACTTATTTTAATTATTTTTTATTCAAGTAACTGCATTTTACAATGAACTAGTGATCTTAAAATGTATTTTAAAGGGTACACTGACTCCATCTGTAAAAGATCCACTAGCAAACAAGAATAAAAAACAGTATGTGCACTCATGTTTACTTGAGTAAGATTTCTTACAAGATACTGCAGATCTACTTAAACATTTGTTTTACTCCAAATGAAACAACTTCATTTGAGTATTAATAAGTGCTCCACACTTATTAAGTTAGTACCAAAAACATAACTTAGATGTATAATCTATCTCTGGAATTAAACCAGAGCTTCTTTTGTGAAGACACAGAGGTTGATAATCAATGCAGAACTGTGTATACTAGCTACAGGAAATATAAAGATGTGAGTATGTTATATACACACACAAAGTAGTAAGATATATAATTTTAAATAAGCTATCATTTGGAACATGTCAATTTTACATCCTTTTCTGCTTTAACTGTAGTCTTACTCCTTTTTAATATGCACAGAAGAGATGTCCTACCCCCATTCATGGTAATAGATAGAAAATAATTTCAAGATTACACACAAAAATAAAGAAAAAAAGGAGGTAAAAATAACTAATCCCCATCATACTTCAAAAAAGCCTTTGGAAATTACATGCAAATATCTTCCTGCAAGAGAAAGTACGCATTAGATGGGTAAGTCAGTATCATCAATTGACCACATCTTAACCAGTTAAGTAGCAAACTGGTTACTCAACCATTTCATTGTGTCCCTGACATTTAAACCTAGATGCTTTACTTCACATCTGAGGCAGACTAAACCTAGACGTGCTCAGTTACTGCAGCTGAGCTGGAGCACAGGAAAAAGTGTTATTTTACCTGTGAACTACACCAACCTAAGAGTGAGCTGTCACAGGGAGGCCACACCGCTCCCCTGGCCGTGGCTGCCTTCCACCCAACCCTTCCTGTGCTCATCCAGCTCCACAGAGAGTCACTCGAAAGAAGTGAAAACAAGACTCTTCACCAGAATGTTTTCTGTGCTTTTGCTCAGTGCTTCAGCTCACTACCTAGCCAGGGAAAGGGAGCAAGGGTGGGCTAGGACTCACTGCAGGGACAAGGAGGCAAGGAAAGCAAGAGCAGCACAGCTTCACTGGCAGCTAGCCATAAACTCAGCTGAATTCTATCATCAAGCTGCACCCTTACTCACTTAAAGAACCCAGCCTAGAGTTTAGAGATGCTTCCAATTTATCTCCTAACCCATTTCAATGCAATCAGTTTTCTGCTCAGTAGCCCTGTATGAAGCAGGAGGCTTCATCTGTCTGTCACCTGTGTGCCTCAGCCCCTTCACAGAAAAGGCTGCAGGTTTAGGAGAAGCACTGCTAGAACTTGCAGTAGATCTTCCTTAAGTGCAAAATCTGTGCCAGTGATCAATAATTAACATATTTCCACCCTGACCTGTCAAAGGCTAGAGACAAACCAGACACGTATGTTGTACTCAGTCCTTTTTGACTAGAAATACTGAAACCATAAATAATCCTCCTATATAATTCTGACATAATATAATTACCTTCAGATGGATGAGCATCGTTTCTGGGAAGCTTAGGGGAAAGAGGAGCAGTATATGGTGGAGAGTCCTGAGGGTATCGTTTAGCACTCCTGTTTTCAGGTATTTCTTCTTTGGCTGTGAAGAGAAAAAGTCACTACTTATTATTCTAGCATAAAGCTGCTCATGGGCAAAGTCCAGAGACAGAAGCAAAGACAGACATCAACCATTCACTAGGTTAGAGTTGCATTTCTCGTGTCACAAGGACTCAGTCGCTTCAATACAAAATTTCAAAGCTGAATTACCTTGACCCTGTCTACTTTCCTGAAAGTTAAAACTAAGAACTTTCATATAATAGACAGAATTACAAAAATAATTTCTCCATTGGGAAAAGAAAAAAAAAATTTCTACACCACCACCCGGAACACAGACTCAGCTGTCAAACAGCTCTGAGGAAGCTTCATTCCCAATATAAATCTTGTGAAACTGTCTTGACAACAAGGCTATCTCAGCTGTGACTCCTGGCTTCACCTGGGACTTGTACTACCAGGTCCTACAAAAAAACTGTTGAGAGATCTTGGCCAAGTAATCTGATCTCCACTCTACGTTCTTGGTGCAGCAAAGGTATTGGACTCACACAAAATTTCACAAGCAGCCAGCTTCACAAGTTTTTCTACTAGATGACTCGACTGTGCATAGTAGAATGTAAAATTTTTTGAGCCATCCCTAAGTAAGGCAAAAAGAGAAAGAGAAGAGTTTGTACTTGTGTTGGAAGGGTTAGACTGAATTCCCTTTCAGGGGAAGTGCCTTCTCACAGATAGCTAGCATCTTTTGTTAAATTTATTTTATGAGCTGAAAATAAACTTAACAAATGAAATGTGAAGTTTTGAGCTTGTCTTTTTAGCAGTATCACAGTGGTAAAGTACATATGTTTTCTGGTTTGCCTACAAGGAGAAGTTTGCTGAATAAAATTATTTCTGCACATGTGGTATGACCTATCCATTACTGTCAAAGCAGTTCCACACTGAAACCAATTCACAAAGAACTGAAGTGCATTAATTTCAAGCAACTCATGTCACAGAAAGACTAAAAAGTTGCATTTCATAAAATCCCCACATTTCTCAGAAATATCAGCACTTGAAAATAACAAGTGATTAACAGTACCTGGCTTATTCCTATCATACTCCATAGGACTATGTGCACATCCCATGTAAGGGCTGAAAGGCTGGCTACTGAAGAGATTATCACACTGCAGACTGTGGCAGAGTTTCTCCAAGAAGCGTAGGACAAATGATGCACTGTTTACAGAAGGAAGATTGATGGCATGCTTTTCCCCATCAAAGGAAGCTGTGAATAAAAAGATTATGTCAAACACCCCCCAAGCATCACGAACTATAGTAAAACATCACCATTAACTTAAAGGAGAAGACATCCAGACTTGATTTAAACCATGAAAGACATGAGAGGAGTAAACAGTCATTCTGATAGTTTAAAAATTTTATATCCAAAGGACTGATTTCACCTTCCATTGGATCCATGTCAGTTTAAATTTGCTCTACGGGAACTTATTTTAATAAAATAATTTTGGATTCACACCAGTATAACAAAACTTTATGTGGAGTTTCCATCACTTACAAAGCAGCAAGCTCTCCATAACCTACTTGCATGAGATAGCACAAGAAAGACTCTTTACAATACTTGCCCCAAACCCCCAAAAATCCTCCAAAAAATCAACAAAAAGCCCAAACAGTTATTAAAAAAATTGACCAAAACGAACCAACCAACCAAACAAAGCTGCCAAAAAAAAAACAAAAAAACAAAAAACCCTGAAGAAATGAAACAAACAAATTTAGTATTTCTTTTCTTTTCTCAGTTTCTAACTGAATGGAGAATACTTGTGGTAAGGTGCTGGCATCCATTACCATTGAAATTCTGACTCAGAAACTGTTTTGCCATTTGCTATTTTATCACTAGAGAAATCTATCCTGCTGTCAACACTACAGTGGTCAAGCTCCCATTTATTTCAACAGGAGTTAGGTGGCAGAGATACCACAGCAGCCACAAATGGATCTGTTGTCTTTTAAACTGAGTGATTACAAAGAGCCTGGACATGTGCCTGTGTCTTTTCCTTGCTGACCTCTTTCCTTGCCCTCAAACAGTGTGGCAGCTGAGGATATTTTTATTTTTTGTAAAAATTAGTAAGGTTTGGAAAAGACTCAATACTACAGATACATGGACAAATAATTACCATTACATCAACTGAAACTTTTAGTTACATGTGATTAGGAATACTTTAGAACAAAGCAGGAACGAACTTGTAACTTAAGCTCAGGGCTGAAAAGAAGTGGCATAAACACCAGGTTTATGCATCAATTTGTCTTTTTGGTTTTCAGCTTGTCATGCAGCTTTCTGTTGTTAACATAAGTTTCCGAATGATAAGCAGAGCTTTAAAGGATCACATTTCGTTGGTAGCAGATGCTTGAAAAAAAAAAAAAAAAAAAAAAGCCAGAAATGACAAGAAAGCCTATATTCACAGATCTGAATTCAGGAATATTTCCATATTGTGTTACAGAAGAGACACATAATATACACAAAACTAAAGAAAATGCCTAGTCTAGCATATTTTAGGCTTCCTTAGGAAATCCGAAGTGTCAATTACTTACACTGTTGATGTAAGGAAGCTTCTGATTAGAGTTAATGTGAGTTAACCAGCCAGCATCAACAACAACGTGCTGCCTCTCCCATCTGCTTTCATGACAGACTGACCACTGCAAGTGGTTGAAGTTTTAAGAGTCAGTACTACAGAACCGAAGTGTTTCCATGGCCTATTAGGTTTTCTTCCAGGCTCCATTGCCCAAATGAGATCTTAATGATTAACAGACCCACATGTAGTTCAGAGACAAGGTCCACTACATCCTGTTTGGGAAAGGGGTCTCCAAAGCCAAATTTTGCTTGGAATTCAACCAGCTCTGGAGAGAAAATGGGCTGAGAGACCTACCATAGTTTGACCTCCTGACAAATTTACTGCAAGGTAGTAGTCAGCTACAGCAGAAATTTAAAATGGTCTATAATAGCCTTATGGATCTTCCTGTATGGCCTTTGGGGAAATGACTTACTCTGTACACTTTAATTTCTCATTTTGAAAAAAAACAAAACATTGAAAAGAACAATGTTATTCAAGACTTGTCATGAGGATAAGGCAAGAAACAGCTGAGGTGTTGTGACTGCCCCAGAAAAACATTCCATGAGAAAAACCCACAAATAAAGATTCAGTGCAAATGCAGCTCCCCTGGACTTTTAACACCTGAGGGCAACCATAAAAACTCCAACCAAGGGATTGGGATCCAGATCCACAGGCTCAGCTATCTACTCTGCTTGGGAAAAACATAAGCATCTTACTGCCCCAATAAATGCTAGGGGAAAAAATAAAAAGGAGTACCTCTGAGGTACAACAACTTAAATTTAAATGATATATAAACAGGGACTGGAGCTCTCATGTGCAAGCCCAGCCCTCAGGATGAAGAGTCATACTAATTTCTTCACCTTCCATTCTTTAAGTATGTTTTACATACCAGGTTCAAGCTGGGGAAAGACTGAGAATGAAACAATCAGAGAAATGTGTTTTTCTGATAGCAATGAAACTCATCCTAGAGTCTGATTTTAATTCTCTGCTTGAGAAAATTTATCTGAGCCTCAATCTATTTCACCCCACCAAACACGACAGTCTCTGTGCTACAAAGAAAAAAAAAGGAGCTGACACCACCATCATTAGTGGGCTTGCTAATCAAGCCTTTAATTTCCTCTCTGTTTTATTTGCCTGAATTGAAAGCTTATGCATCAAGCAAAAATAAAATAGTTTGTGCCTTTGTTTGAGAAAGAAAAGACGGAAAAATTCTAAATTTAATTTTATTCAAAACAATTATTTTCTTTGGCAGCTGAACCAAAAGAACCCACTAATTATTCCATATACTCCAGCAAGATTATTTTATCCATGTCCTCATCAGCAGTTTCCTCCTACGGCAGGTATAATACTTTCTATAAAAGCATCAGCTCACAAAAGCCTTAGATTTCTTTGCTTATTCTCTGCCACAACATTTTTTTTTCTTGACAGTCTAAAAAAAACCCCAAACAAAACGTGAACAACAATCCATCCTCCAAACCCACTTTAAAACAAAAAGGCTACAACTGTAATTCTTTATTTTATTCTACTGTTGCTTCCCTCTTCTTCCTTACTATTCATGTGCACAGCTAGATGTAATGTGCTACATTAATCTAAGTCATATTTTATACTTCACAAAATTTATCATACACAAATTTTTGATAAAATGACAGGGAGTTTGCTCAGGCACTTCTCAGCCACCTGTCTGACAAGCCAAGGAGAAGCAAGAGCTCAAGAACACCAGAAATCCACTGCGGCCTTGTGGCTCACTATCACCCAGACCAGGACTCTACTTCCAGAGCAGCTCACATTGCCAGGTTCCTCAAATCCAAAATACAGGCCTTGAGGTGAAGCCAGGTGCACAACAGTAAATCCTTTTTGCCAGAATTTTTGAATGCAAACAAGCCACACCTATGTAAGGAATCTGAAATTTCTCTCTCCTGATTGCAATTATTATTTTCAATTACGCAGTCACAGCCCAGAGATGGCACTGGCCTGTGATTTAGCCCTTCATGATAAACAATCACAAATAAAACACTGGCAATGAACATCTCAAAGCATTTTGATCTAAAAAATTGACTTGTCTGAAATAGGTACAGCAAGGTATTAATAGTATACCAAACGTTCATATATATTGAAAAAAAGCCACAGTACCAGTTTCAAAATCACAGCTATACAATGCCATTACACCTCTACTACACAGCAGAGAAGCAGCATCCATTTTGTGCACAAACTCAGGGGGATGCCTAAGCAAAGTTCACTGTAGTTCTGCCATGCACAGGTTGAGGTGTGCTCTTTACATAGTTAGACAGCAACATTTTTATGAGTACTTAACTGAATCTCTATTCCACTAATCATCTTTCACATCTGGTGTTAATACAAAGAGATTAAAGTAAAGCCAAGTCTTTTACCACCACTGATGGAATTATGAAATGATGTGCTAACTGTTATACATAGAATATTTCCTAGCCTGGAAGGAAAAAAAGTCAAGCAGCAGCTATTCAGATTGAGACATACAGATAATTTATCTATAGACTTGCCATCAATATGTAATACAAATAAACCTATTCCATAACAGGAGACATAGGTGGATGAAGAGTGACCTAAGATACTGCTGCAGTTCTGGGGAATGGGGTAAGGGAAACAGCAGCAACTTTCACATGTGGAATCACTTCCCTGGAAGCTAAACAGATTAGTTTGAGACTTGTCACCCACTTGGTTAATGCTTTAAGAACACAAACACCATGCATGGATAAGATTATGCAAATGACTTGAACTGATAATGCTGATTATTTCACTTGTAGTGAGTTTACTTGACAAATGTTTGACTACAGCTGCTAAATGAGGTACACAAGCTCTCCTTAGTGTAAGAAGCTAACTGTATTGTGCATTTGTAATTTAAACACTGCTATTGCTACATTTTAATTTAAATTTAAAGAATTGTTCAAATCACTCTGAACTCAGAGTAAGATAAATCATATATCAATGTTCGCACCTGTGTTCACACAGCTAAAAAAGTGATATAAATTCATTGCAGCTACTTCAGTTCTTCTGCCCTACCTCAAGTTCAACAAGTAAAGAAACAAATGAAACAGAACATCTTCACATACCAGTTATCATTTCCCCTCCATGATGGCCAGATTTCAGAAATCCAAAGACAGTTTTGGCTTGATGGGCACAATCCACACAAGCCTGTACAGCCTGCTGAAGTACCACATTGACAGGACCTGGTCCAAAATGGTCTGGAAGCTGCTGAACCTTCTTCTTATCCAGGTGAGGCCCAGAATTTCCATGCTTGTTCACATAAACACACACTGAAATGGTACAAGCCACATTTACTGCCATGGAACCAAGACATGTTTCCAAGTTAGAACTGCAAATTGTCATTTTAATTTCAATCTTGCAGAAGAGTTATACTGGTCAACTCAAGAAGCTGAGCATGCACACATACTTTCAGAGCATGCAGAAAGTACTCTTCTCCCAAGGTCCTCTTGACTGAATCCTAAACTCACTTTTTTTCCCTGCTTTCTGAAGCCCTCTTCTACCTCACTAATGTAACAAAGATGACACGATCTGTGCTTGCGTTTTGATTTATCTCTGCTCATACACTAGTTCCAGGGAAGTACAAATTACAGGCACGTACTCCAAACTACCAAGCCACAATTCTACAAAGCAGGCCTTACCAAGTTACTGCCTAAATCTTTTCCTATTTGAGAAGCTGCAACGAAGAGAACCTTATGTTATAGACCTGCCACTGATGCTCATTCTGAAGTACCCATATGGCACTAACATATACATCCCACAGAGTGGCTACTGAAGGCCTGTAGCTTCAGAAGACTTGAAATACTCATATATATGACTTCCACACAGAAATATGGCCCATGCTAAATAAACACTTCTTTACAAACACTGTAAGGTGGTTTGAAGTGTTACACGAAACAATCATATAAGACTTTTGTAACTACTTTTTAAAGAGACAATGTGAAACTGTCTTCCAAAACAACTGCCAAGGCAGAAGAACATGGAAAACATGTAAACGATGATTTTTTTTCCTTATTCATCTTGGCTGCCACATGACCAAGAATGCACCTGAGACATTATTACAGCTTAATGAAAAAATGTGCCTCTGTGGTGATTGAGCAATCTAAACATTCTATTACACAAAAGACTGACATATTTTCTGAACTGTAGTTTGATTTTAGATAAAAACCCTGAGCTTTTAAAAATAAAGTATTTCTACAAGAATTTTAATGATGTCATGTGTTCATGCATATCAGTTTACTCTCTGAATCTCCAAATTGAAGGAAACCTATTTGTACAAATAATCAAAGCTACAAATCAACAATAATAGTATGGTATTTTCTGTCTGGGCTCAACAACTGCCTTGCAAAATATTTACTTTCCTAAGACAAAGGTACATGTTTTCCCCTCACCCATGACTGAAACTGGGCGTGAGAAGAGCCTGACAACTTCTATTGTAAAAAGAGGTTTTAAATGCAAAAAAGCAACCTAAGCAAAATTATCATAATTTATGGAGATTTCAGCTGACAATATATGAATTATTTCACTACAGGGTTACCAGTTCCTCAATAGGTTAGTTCATTTACTAGCTTATTTCTTTTCTGCCAATCCTTTTAAAGACACATTTCATTATATTTAGAGGCAAAAAAAAAAAAAGTCAACGTGAGGAAAGAGGAATGTATTCCCTCTGATTGCCTTTGCTGGGTTTTAACAGAGTTGTTTCTTTTCATGTAAGGCTATATAGAGATAAAATCTCTATTTTGTAACATTACAGTACAGCTTGCATGGGATCAGAGTATCATATGGGCTTTTAGCTACATCTATTCCCATTTCATACATTAAGGAGTGGGACAGACATGAAAGAACTGTACCATTTCCTTCTTCACACAGGAACAAACTGCCAGGTCTAGCAGATCTATCAAAAATCCTCATGCCCCAGCATTTATTGCTATAATGTGGGAATCAAAATACTAGTCCTGAAAAGTAACTCAGGCTCCTACAAATATCTTTAAAAAATAAGGCATCTGGATAATGATTTACAGTAATAAGTTTGCAGCACATTCTTCATAAAATGAAACTACCTGACATGGAAGGCATTTCACACACTTTTTTTTTCTTCATCTTTTACCTGTGGATATAACTGCTGCAGTTGCACCAGACAAACTGATTCCATCTTTAAGTATCTGTGTAGTGCCATTTTCCCCCTCAGGAGATGACTGAGGAGAAGGAGATGTAGGAGTCAATTGTTCTGGCAAGACTTTTTTCTGTTAAGAGGAAAAAAAAAAACAGAGTCAAAATATTTAATGTTTTTTAAGGAATCTGCACAACCTTTCTGCTATCAGTTACCATCTTAATGAATGTGTGTGGTTTCTTACTAGAAAAGTACCACACACAGCAGAGAAGGGAAAGCTCAGGAAAGGAAGACCAGGAACTGTCAATTTGCAGTTACAGCTACTTTAGTAATGCAGTGGAAGACAAATGACTCAGAAAGGAACCCACCTTTACCTAAAAAGTGGGAAAAGAAAGAGCTTTATATACTAATTCACGACTCTTCTAAAAATCTTAGGAAGAGGTATTTCGGGGCATTTTCCTGTTCACGCCCTTCCAGCTGGGTTTAGCACAGCTCAGGTTATTTAGGCTGTGTATGTACTGTCATAAAAAAACCTAAGTCACATCTAGGTGTCAACATTACAGTGCACCTGTATTTTCCCTGAGCTTGTTTCAAAGGAGCTGAAATTCTCAAATAACCACTGCCAGAAATTTTCAAGTGCTTCATGCAAGAGATCGAACAAGAATGTAGTTACAATCCAGTTATGCTGGTTGCCAAAACTTTTTCCTTTCCCAAAGAAAACTTATTTGCATCTTGCAATATGACAGATAACCAGAGTTCAGAGCACAGCAATTTACAGATTGGTCTGTGTGCACTACCTTCTCCACCAGAGGAAAAGAGAATTCTGTTGTAATTTGATTTGTATTGGGATTTAAAAAAGAGAAGTGCACATGGAAGACACTTCACAGAATATGCTGATTTGGAAAGGACCCAAAAGGATCATTGAGTCCAACTCCTGGTCCTGCACAGGACATCCCTAAGAGTCACATCATGTGCCAGAGAGCATTGTCCAAACATTCTCAAGCTCTGTCAGACTTGGTGCTGTGACCATTTCCCTGGGTGTTCCAGTGTCCAGCCACCCTCTGGGTGAAGAACCTTTTCCTGGTATCCAACCTAAAGCTTTTCTGACACCAGAGGCCATTCCCTTGGGTCCTGTCACTGGCCACCAGAGAAGAGATCAGTGATATGTTTTGACATACTATGAAAATACATTGAAATAAAAGAAATAATAAATAAAGAGTTCATCACTTTTCCCTCCACTGCTTATTCTTACATGAGAACAGATTACATTTTGACTCTCTTATCTAGCAAAAATTAGGAATGTAAGAGATTACCCAAGGTCTTGATACTGCTGAATGCAGCAGAGACTTGGGGTCATATGGTAAGGATTTACCATTAAAACTGATATATAGTGAAGTAAAAATTCAGTCAATTTGCTAAGGAAGACTAAGCCCTCTTCCATTTTAAAGTATTTATCCTTCAAACTTTTAGAAGCAGCCTGTTTTCCAAGTAATGTATTGAAAACCATGTAGAAAGCAATCAGAATATATATCTTCTTAAAAGAAGCAGTGCTTAACTTCTTCACAACACCTAGAAAGAAGGAATTAACTTTCTTCTGAAATCCAGAATACTTTAAAGAAAAATTCTGTGCCACTTACGAGTTCAGAGAAGATAGGTTTGGTTGGAAAATGTACTTGACAATATGGCACTGGGTGGAATCACCATGAACATAAGGAATAGACTGCCAAGGCTTGGCACTGCATTGTGAGATGAGGTGGCACAGAACCAAGTAGTGATGTATTACTTGTCAGGAATTGACCATTTATCTTAACACTGGGTGACAGAAAGGTCTCCATCCTTAATACAGAGAAAAAAAAAAAGTGCTTGGGAAGACTGAGGTTTTGATCTGAACATTCCTGAAGGCCCCCTGCAGCAAGGGTTCTTGCAAGGGGGCAGTTTTCTTTTACCACGCTACCAAAAATGGGCAGTCGGATTGAGGGAAAATACGAGGAAATGGGAGAAAATGTAGGCATGAAAACAAAATACAAACACTAAACTAAGAGGAACCATCCACTCTCCACATCAATGCACACATGTGGTGAGACTAGCTGGCTATTTCCTACCTTCTCCCTCAGAAGGGAATATAGCACGTTATGCTTGCTCAGCTGAGGCTCTCATTTTGCAACCTCCCCACTGAAAAGCAGCCAGCTGCAAGCCCAGAGCCATTGTTCCATGGGACAGGCCACATTCCCAGCAGGGCTGGGCACAGTGGCTGGGGCTGGCTGGCCCCTGCCAGCTGGGAGGGCACACCAGCCCTGTCTGCCTGCAGAGAGCAGGGCTCACAGCTTGTAACCACCAGGACAACTTCACCAGCTTAATGCTTAAAAACTCTTTTTGTGGGGTTGAATTTAGGGCTGGTACCCACACTCAGACCAAGGGGTTTCCTCAAGAAATTCTGAAAGGAATTCTTTGCACTGTTACGTAAAGTGTACTTTTAAAATATAATGCAAGAGATGTAGAGAGGTTTCGTGTTTATTATGGCAGAGTAAAAACATACAGTGCAAGCTGTGAGAAACAAATGAAAAACAAAATCCAACATGTATCTCATACTTACACAGCTCAGAAACATTTTAAACAAAGAAGAAAAATGATGCAACAGCTCAACATTTCTAGCTGTATAATAAAAGTTAGTATCTGCAAAGTGACAAATACTGAAGCATAAAAACCTAAAGGGGCAAAGAAATTCAAACAACTCTGCAGAGAGACAGGCAGATACTAATGTCCCTAAATACACCAAATAGCCACCTCACACTTGAAGCACAACCATTTAGTGCAACATCTGGAGGGGGTTTTTTTTTGCATCAGTCTAGGGGGGTGGGTGGAATTAAAAAAGCCTCTTTCAAGCCTCTAGGCACATACCACCTGCATATTTGCATACATACTCTGAGGTGTACAGGCTGTATGGCTGCACTTCATGTCAGACACACTGTCCACAGAACTCCCACAAAGCCCCATTTCCTCTCTTTACCCTTATGCTAACAGGTGTAATAGTCCAAAGAAAAGTTTGCACATATGTATAACATCTTGGCAATTTAACCACTTACCAAAGCAATAACAGCCTTCTGTGAATTCTCAAAAGGAGCTAATTTTTCAAGTTTCTAATGCTAAAGTTAACAAGGCAAAAAACCCAAATTCGATGCATCAAACCTACATTTTGCAAAACCTCTCTGTTGCCTGGTCCCACAGAGGAAATCAGGAGTGCGCAGAGGTACCTCGGATTTTCTGCCTCAGGACAGGTATGTCAGCACTAACACCCATTCCCCAAAGAGCACCTACAAGCTCTTCACACAAACCTGGTGTCAAAAATACTCCAAGGAGACACTTCCAGACACCCAGGGCCCAGAAGCCTCTTCTAATGGCAAGGTGCCTCCAACTACTGTTTCAAAACCTAGATAAACCATCTTGATTTCTTTTTAATGAGAGCTAGTATGCAAATTCTTACATGCAAGTGTACATCCTGCCATACCTGAATGATGCCTTAAGATATGACAGTTCTGTGTTCAATGCTGTCCTTTAAAGCCCCATCCAGACTTATGAAGAACACCTCACACACCAGCTAAGCCTGGATAGGAGCACCTTTCTCCTCTTTAATCTCTGCTGCTGTGCATTTTTATATAGCAAGTAAGAGAGGAACAAAACTGGAGACCAATTCCATCAGTCGCCTACCAGTATGGATGTCTGATTGCAAGGGGCAGGCAGTAAAGAAGAGTGCTCAGCTCTCAATTTATGGTCCCCAAAATTATTTCTTATCTTGTGATCATCATTTCAACGAAGTGCTGCTTCCAGTTTCATACTAGAGCTTCCAGCTATGCTCCAATAATGTTACTTCACTAGCACTTCACACTGACCAGCATAGTCACTGGAAGGGAGAATCCTCACCTTGCCATTACTCCACTTCTTTCCACGCATCATTAGGAATAGGTCCCACTGCCCACACTGATACCGACTGCAGGAGAAAAGCCCTAAGACTTCTACTTTTTAATTCTTGTGAGGAGGAAAGGGGAATGAACACCAAAAAAACCCTAAAAAATACCAGGAAAAAGCACTACCCCCCACCTCTTCACTAGTGATGCAAGCAGGAAGGAGCACAAGGACAGATTCAAATTGCCTAAGGAAAGACTACAGGATTGCTACTCTTCTTGGACAGCCTGCTGTGCATGAGCAAGCCTCAGAAAATAGACTGTACTTCCATGGCAATCCAAAATTGCCCTAAGTCTGCCCTGCTGTGATCCTATTCTTCCTTGCAGCAGCTGTAGCATTTGTGCTTTTTGGGGTGGAGCAGACAAAGAAGGAAGTAGGAGGGATGGATGCTGTGCTGTCTGCCAGTTGAGCTGCCTGAACTGGCTCACTCAGATATTGTTCATGTGCCAGCACTGGTGTCAGTGGCAGCAGAAGTGAGGTGAGGGAACAGAAGCTCCAATCTGTACCTGACCAAACAGCTCCACCAGAGCTGAAGCTGGAGGCAGCTGCCAACACTCCGGTCTGACTCAGATGGGCAGGGAGAAAGGCATCATGCCTTTCAGACCAGGACAGGATTAGGCCCACATCTAGAGAAAAAGAAGCTTCCTGCTTCATGCTAGAAGCTCCAGGATTAGGGGGTATCCATGAGATTAATTTGGCAAATCCAACTGTATGCTTAAGAAGCCTAAATTATGCAATAAAACCCTCGCTGTTTTTAATTCTTTGTTTCTAAACCTGAAAAAAAACCCCCAAAACCAAAAACTGCAAGCTATATATATGGTTCAGTAACAAACTAACCCAAACTGAAAAGCTTAAAGGCTTCCCTGTCTCTCTATTTCAGAATAGAATTTTTCAACACCAATTACTCACCCATAAATACAACAGTAATCTTGTTTGGGAATAAAATAATCCACAGGATCTTATACTAAAATATTCCAGAAAAGCTATTCTAAATTTTTTCTTCTAATCAGTTGCTGAAAAGAGTAAAGCCCTGAAGGCTGAAGAGAAGACAGAAAATTAAGTAATAATAATAAAAAAAATCTCACTACAAAATTTTGCAATATAAAGTAAAATAGTAGATAAAGACTAACCTTTTTTCCAGGTTTTAAACTTTTTTTCCTTGTTTTAAGATTTTCAGTATGAGAGGTGCTTTTTGTCAAGGGAATATTTTTAGGAGACCTGCCCTTCTTGGGAACTGCAGACTGTCCAGGGGGTTTGCCCCGACCTGGTTTCCTGCCCCGCTGCGCTGGTGCTGGAGCAGATTTCTGTGGAGACTGCATTGAACGCCGGGTCACTTTGGAAGGGGAAGATTGGATTTTTGCACTGCTCTTTGTAATGGAAACTGAGGAAAAACAAAAACAAAAGGGAAGGGGGGGAAAACCTCAAAATGAACAATGGAAAGCAACTTTTCTAACAAAGGCTTAAAAAAATAAAAGTGTACTGCACAATTTACATTGTAAAATGAATATACTTTTTACTTTGAACTTAAGTGGCTGGCATGAAACTATAAAATTCATTGAAGCCAAAGAGAGAACTCTTTGTACCCATTATTTTAGAGGGACTTTCCTAAGAGAAAAACATTCAAATAAAAATTGGGAAAAAAACCCCAAGAATTAATCCACTCACCTTATAAATGCTTCCCATAATTGAATTACAATATTTATAAAGTGCCATTCATCAAGAAGGCCTTCAAAAATACTTCACAAATTATACAGCCTATAAAACATCCCTTTTCTGCTAAGAGCAGTTTCCACAATTACAAGGCATGCAAACTACTTCTAGGGAGCTACAAAACAACTCTGAGCAGCAAAGAAAATCATCCCAGTGACAAGGAGTAACTGATGACAGGCAAAATGTCTTTAAAGAGTATCTGTCTGAGATGCTGGTTTAGAAAGTTAAGCTCACATAACTATACTCAGATTTTTCTACCTGGTGCTATTTTGAAGAAGGGATTCCAAAAATCAAATATAAAGTATAATTTTTCTTCATTCTTAACATGGAAGTAATTTTCTTCCATGAGATGGGTTAATCTCCCATCCCAATCCAATATGGGATCCCAGCAGATATCTACCTGGATGTTCCAATATGCATATGATGTGACAGCATAATAGTCTAGTGTAAGGCTCTAACATGTGACCAGATTTCCTTCAATTAAAACTTCCCAGTGAACAGGTCTTTGCCACTCAACTCGTTCCTTTCTGAAATAATGATGGTTTTATTTTAACAATTCCCTTCCCAATGGACAGAATGCCATAAGGATGCCAAACAGAACATAAGGACATATCCTCAATGAAAACATGTACTGCACCATGCTACAGCAGCACCTGTGACCAACAAAAAGCAAATACCCTGTGGCCAACAAATACTCAGTTCTGTTGGCCCAACCACTGGCAGGCAGATAGGTGCATAAATTGCAGGACAGGTAAGTAGAAGATGAAATGGGAAAATTTTTTTACATCAAACAAACTTTGTTGAGAGGTATGGGAAGGAAACACACAACATATTTGAAATAATTTGAAACCTTTACACTAAAATTAGACAGTTTTCTAGTGTCACACTGCCCCTATCACAGCTTTTTCATCTTGCTGATTGTAAAACTCATGTGATTCACCTTAACCTAAAATATCATCAAAACTTAATGCAACATAACTTAGAGAAGTATTGCAAGTTAGAGTTCAAGCAGGCTTTGACTGTGTTGGTCACCACTGCCTGATTCAAAGCACTAATTCATACTGGAAATGGAGCAGAGGGGGCTGTTAATTCTGGATTTTTGTGAATTTGGAATCTTTCTTCCCTGAAAATATTAGTATGTTGAAGCTTTCTGTCAAGCAAGTAAAACAAGAAATAAAACAGAAAGATACTTTTGAAATGATTAAGAAAATAAAATATTTAAAGATTGAGTAACATTTTAAATGTCTAGCTCTATGAATCATATTCAACTTAACAGTCCAGCACTTTGCTTTACAACTGTTTCTTTAACTCTGTATCTTTATTCAGGAGTTAACCGTTTAAGTATTTGCAATAGAAAATATCACTGTAAGATGAAATGCACACTGCACACAGACTTCTTATAAAATACAAATGCTACTGACACACATTTCTAAAGCACTAGGAGCATTTACATACATTGCTCCTGATTCAGTTACTAATCTAATATTCCTAAATGGCCATTCAGAAGAAATCTCTTCATTATGGCTGGTTGCAATCCTAATGCATCAAATGCAGACCTGATATCCCTAGGTTTCTGTGAAGGACCACCTTCTGGACGTACAAAGTGATCGCTTGCCTTTTATTTATGTATGCCAAAACCTATTTCCATATGCAATGACAATTTAAAATAAGATGAACAGAATTTTAACAAAATGCTGTCACAGCATTACACTTATGTTCCTGAATTGCTGAATGACAATGCACATTAAGCTGTATATCTGGAAAGCAAAGCAGTATCAACTGTATTCTGTACAATACAATACTACAGACTATATTATACTTACAACAACATAAAATGCAGCTATTTTCATTTATTTGTGCCACACAACTACGCATAGAACAAAACAATCATGACCATGTAAAGAAACGCTGTTTAACAAATTCTTTGTGTTTCTGCCTATGCTGAAATCTAGCAAATGCATGTCTATTCTCACACAGTAAAGACACAGCTGTTGTAAAATACAAACTACTTTCAAGTCAACAGGTTCTAGGAGCACAGGTATGAGTTTTGGACACTGGGCAATCCCTATTCCCTTCCAGAAGGACATTTACCAGACAAAGAGCAACAATGCAAACAGCTCCAGCCACTTCATGCTGCCCTCTTGAACCACACGCATCAAGCACTACCTTGTCTCAGCATCTTCCTACCTGTATATGCCAGAGCACCAAATAGGAGCGGTATTAACCATTAAGGGGGTGGGGGGAATCAGGTCTCACTTGGTATTTTTCCTTCTGCTAGGGCTGAAGCTGCTTTTCTTAATAGGCAGGACTGCAACAAAGCCCATGCTGCCTGGGCAGCCTCCCAGAGATAGCAGCAAATGAGGAAGCTGCTATTTGCATTTGTTGATTTAAGAGAGGATGGGGGGAGCACAAGGGAGTGGGACTGCTAAAGTAATTCCCATATTGTCTGCAGGCTGTATTGACAGTGATCATCAGTCACCTGCTCATACTTCCCTCACCCCGGCCTTCAGAGGGAGACCAAAGGTTACACTGGGTCACAGGATCTAGGGGGAAATGAAAAGACATGCAAAATCAAGCTGCCAACCCACTGCATCTGTAGACAGAGTTATCCCCACTAGGCCACATGTTCCAAAAACTAAGACATTTTAATAGTCTCATGAGAACTTGTTAAAATATAACGATGAAGAGAATAGAAAGGAAAAATGCCAAGCTCTGCTTGCAATTACTGCAGTATTTAGCTGGGATATTTACAACCAAAAAGCACATTTGCCTTTTGAGGATGCTGCTTTGCATCACAAAGGTCCTCTCATTTGCACAAACAAAATCAAGCATTTGTGTCATGTCGCTCATCTGCACAAATATCCACCACTCAGTTTCAGGAATGGGATGGGCTTTCCTTCCCAAATATCTTATTTAGAGCCAAAACCTGTACGGGCACCCTCAATAACTGAAGAACTGAGGTCACACTACACAGATATACTTTACCATAGAAATGCTAGCAACTAAGCAGAGCTTTCAAAGTTCACAGAGCTGTAGTTATACTGCCCCGTTTGTGTGGGCTATAGGTAGGTATATAACCCTTCCTGCAACTCACAGCTTTCATACTTCTCTTTCAAAGCATTCTTTCTCCCCCTCCTCCCCAAATCATTCTGTGAGAATCCCAACACCTACAAACTTTGCATTTAATATAAGAGAAACCCCAAATCCTGTATCTTGGAACTCACAACCTGGAGATGCATGGCTACAACTCAGGCTCTCGCTGAAACAAGCAGATCTACTGCAATCAACTGAGCTCATTTGCATGAAAAGGACCCAAAAGGTTACACCTTACATGAGGGCCAAGTTCTGCTTGCAGAAGCAGAAAAACTGCCCAGACACAGGCAGAATTTGACCCCAGAATGTTATCTCCAAGATCTCCTGCCAGAATAAGTAAGATATTTAAGACAACTGTGAAATATGAAGCTACTGAAACCTCCAGTACTCGAGAAGGGGATGGAACAGATGACAGCTCAAAAGCCTGAATTCTCATGCAATTCTAATTAGTAAAATTCCCTCAAATAATCAGCAGTGACAGTATCACTCCATGTTTTTATGGAAAGCAGGGGGAAAAAAAGGTTCAGATTTGTAATATTTAAACATTGTAAATCTTCCATTCAGTTAGTGTCACAGAACAGCAATTACAAGACAAGATTTAAAACAGCGGATGGGAAATGACAAAAAGCAAGGTAGGGGCTCACTGCCACGCATTCTGTGAACACAGAATTTCTACCTGAGGTGAAGGTGCCAATTAGGCCAGTAAAAAAAAAGTAGTTCACTTTTAAAACCAGGTTTTCTTTCAAGACAGAAATTATTATATTTATACTGTAGTATTGTTCCTATGCGCCCCCCCCCAAAATATAAATCCAATGTTCTTCTGAGAATATAAAAGCTTCGTCCTTCTGTCATGTACAGACAAAAAAAATGAGGCAAAGAGATTTAGCAATTTACCCGAAATCCATGTGAACATTCCACAGGAGAAGTAATGGAAACATATCTCCTGAATTCTGGCCTGGAGATTTAACTACAAAATTAACCTTCTTTAATACAGTCAGTTATTATCATGATAGTTCTGACAACTGGCAAAGAAAGTGGAAAAGATTAGCAATTTTTCAAAACAGCTTACTGCCAAGGATTATAAAAATTTATGTCCTTATGTCTCAATTGAACAACAGAGCCATACAAAAGCGTAACTCTCTGTAACACATTCCACCTCTTCCTATCTGTTTGGATTACTTCTGGTTATGAGGTAGCTGTGAGATATTAACTGATATGTTGCTATGATACAAAATTAGTTATAAGTCATTATTTTGCTATCTAAAAAGTAGCATCACACTTGGAAACTTCAACATCCACTTTGGCAAGATATGGACACTACAGCTTGAAATCTGCTTTCTAGATTTTAGTTTCTGTTACCAATATAATAAAAAAAAGGCTCTGTCTTCTGCAAAAATTTTTAGCCTACCTTACAAAGGACTGAAAGGCAAAATAGAGGCTGCCAAGCCATATAAGACAAAAATGGATAAAAGAAAAAGCATTCTTCTCCCAGTGACTTCCCCAGGCAGCACTGTAGCACCTTCAGTCCCTCAGTCCTTCATTCCCACTCCCAGTCTCCCACATTTTCAAGAGGTAGGC